GAAGCCTTCGACCACACAGAAGCCGAGGTGCGATTGGCATGTCCCAGGGCCAGCGGTGCACCCAGCTGGTGAGGTCGACCTCAAGGCTTTCTCGATAACTTGGGGCCTTGGGCCTATGTCCTCCCATCAAAATGCATGAAGACCTACCCTCCCGGAGAAATGGCCCTTTAAGGAAGTTGATTAGACACCTGGAAGGTGCTGTGTTGGGAGGGTATCTGTGGAACAAATTGCGAATCAGCTTCCCAAATCCGAAAGAGTTCACTTCTGTTGACACAAGCCCAGCAAAAAATAAGAGTGGGCTGAGGACCTCAGGATGAGAATTCAGAGCGCAAGCCCATGGATCAAACTGGACCCAGAACTGGTCCCAAATGGGACCATTGGAGGCGCGAACGCCAATGGGACTCCTTTCCTTTTCAGCGGCCGAGGTGGGCCAAATGGTCCAGAGAGAGACAGTGGTTTGCTCCTCGCAGGCCGGATGAAAATAAGGGACTGGAAAGGGACTGGAAAGGGGCTGATACGTGTCGGAAGGTCCGGCATAATAGAGCCCTGTTGCCCAATCCTCGGTCGTCAAAAGTGGATGAACATTCCGCGACAGAGATAGAGACAGAGACAGACTCAGAGACACAGAGACACAGAGACACAGAGACACAGAGACACAGAGTCACACACGGAGAGACAGAGAGACACACAGAGAGACACGCAGAGGGAGAGAGGGAGAAGGGTAAAAAGGAAGAAAGAGAGAGAGGGAGAAAGAGAGTGAGAGAGGAAGAGGAAAAGGAAGAGCAAAAGGAAGAAAAAGAGAAAGAGAAAAGAAAAAAATGCGAGCTGTTCAACTCATCAGAGTCACACTAGGAGTCGGGAAAGGCATCCATTGAAGGAAACCCTACGTGAACACTGCCAGATCCTGTTGACCGGTGGTTCCACTAACATGGGCAGTAATTAAGGTTGTGCTTTTTTGAGTCTCCAGGTGATAGAGCCAGCTGACAAAACGGCCGATGCGGGATTTTGCGCGCTCATGTAGAAAGCATGGATTCGCCCTCTGCACACCGAGCCACTGCGATATCCCCCGTGATGTGCATCTCAGAGCCAGGGGGAGGCAGCCCAACCACGTCTCCAGGGTACCTGAAAGTTTGGCCGGAACCAAGTGGCTTCACTGCTGAGGTCCGCTCATCGTGTGACTCAATGAGTCTTTGTGTTTGCCAAAAACTACACAATCAATGCCAAAAAGATGCCATGAATCTCATTTCGAAAAATCAAGGCCATCGCACAAACACGACATGGGCATTGCTTGAGATTCCCCTTTCTTGGCCAAGAGAACATGGGACACTTAGTGAGTCCCCACTTTTGTGTGGGAAAAACTAGAGAGCTCATCCTGCATGTCCCTGCCACATGGACCCTGGACAAATCAGGAACTGTTGAACGAACGTAATATGATTACCCACTTCTGGCCACCTTCCCCCTGCCTGCGGGCCCATGAAAGTGTCGCACCGATGATTGTGGCAGCGATGACCTGCGTTAAGCTCCCGGCAAACCAAGAAGGGTCACTTGCATGAATCTCCCACGTGGCATGCCCAATACTGCCACTGCCCCGGGTACTGGCATTTGCCACTGTCCCGTCAGTTTGTCGAACTTTCATCGTCTCTCAGAAAAGACAACCTTGAACTTCTGCACTCTTGCTATCTTGACCCCAATCCGGACAGCACGTGAGGATATCAAACACACTCAGCTCACAGAGTGCCTTGAGGGGATTCTTGCCCTGCATCACCTTGGCAGGCAAGCGCCTCAGCGCCTCAAACTTTGGAGCTTTCAAAAACGTTGATTCCAATTCTGCAAACCTGGGCTGGAGTGGATTGCTCAAGCATGCACAAGAACCAGATCCAGTAGTGTTTGGTTTGCTAAAATTTGGGCACTGAAATAAATCAAAATGGTTCAAGGGGCAGCTGAGCAATTGGGAAAATCCATTGCAGTTTGTCTGCGTGACGGGCTCTGTTTGGTCGGCATACCCCTTCTCCAATGTTTGGTAATAGTCATTCGTGCCCACGACCAAACCCCTTTTTCCTTGTGACCAAATGTGAATACGTCTTCAAATACAACCGGATCTTTTTCGTTGCTCACCGGTTCATTTCAGTTGCGGAGCATCCCAGCCAGGGTGGAGCCAACTTGATTGAATTTGTTTTAATCCCCTCATGTTGTTTGCCCTTTCAAGGCAACCAGGGCCTGGTTGTTTGAAAGAGTTACAACCTACCCTGATCAAGAGCAATCCTCCCGAACTCATGCAACCAACACATTCCTCTAGATCCATTTTCCTGGCTACCTACCGAAGGTATGTGTCGCGGCTTCCATCACCATGCTCTCGGCACACTTCGCTTTTTGCTCCTGCACGCTCTTGCTGCATCGCTGCATCGCTTGCAGCACTGCTGTGAGCCGCAGGACCTCCTGGTGGCCCAAATTTGTCACCGGGTATGGCTCGTCAAAATAGGCGGGTCCCGAAAGGAGTGGGTTCCCATTGGTTTCCCTGCAAAGCAAAAAAACAAAAAACGCACCCACACCCGGGCTGGGCCAACTTCCAGGCCTTGGGTCTGGCCAGAGCAAGTGGATCGAAGGGTTGGGCAGGGCGCCTTTGGAAGGACGCTTCAACAATAGGTGCTTAAGCCACTTAAGCATGTGCAAGCCACTGATCTGAAACAATACAAGGCCCTGGGCTCAAAGGCTCAGGTTCATACAAAGCGTATGGAACCTGCTGGGTCCCATCCCTTACCATAGGCCATTGCCGAACACCAGCAAAGCCGCCGTGTCTCCCATCTCGTTCTCGCTGCCATCTCCGGACCACTTCCCACGGCGCACGGCCCACACGTCACCTCCACGCTGGTTGCGCCCGCAGCAGCAAATCCCACCGGCACGCGCGCACACGAACGGCCCCACCTCGTTGTCGCTGTATCTCCGAACCAAATCGCACCGGCGACCAGATCCCACCAGCACACGTTTCACGGCACCCTCCGTCGGCGCCATCCTAGCGGCCCCCGCCAAGCCAAATCCCATCGGCGCGCTCGCACCGGGGCAAGACGGCCCCACCTCGTTTGCTACGTCTCTGTGAACCAAATCTTACCAGAGCACCCCGGCACCCGCTGTCATGGTGCCATCGGTCACCATTCTTGCTGCAGCTGGCAAGCCGCCAGCTCCAGCCAGCGGCGTTTGCGCAGTATACTCGGCCGGCCCCCCGCCGATCCTCGCTCCCTCGCGGTTAGAAAGGGTTTTGGGAACAAAAAACGTGGCACAGGCAAGCGGCAGGCCCCAGCTTAGACCATGTCACGTCTTCTTTTCGGGTGAATGTCACATTGGCCAACTCCCTGCAAACGCCCGACCCGAAAAAGCGACTGGTTGCAGCGATGTGATTTCCACTGCCGCCTCTTATCTTGGTCTGGTCTGATGCTTTCACCCCCTGACTTGCTGGGCTTGTTCGCTCGTTTTTTTTTGGCGCTCCCCGGCTTTCCTTGTTTTGTTGCTTTGTTCTTTTTTTGTGCTGCTGGCTCGGCTCAGCGAAGATGCTCTTCCGCACAGGTAGCCAGGGGCACGGGATGGCAATGGACAGTCCTCGTCTTGCACTTCCGTTCGAGCTCGCTTTGGCTTGCCTTGCCACAGCGATGGGAACCAAGCCGAGGCCAGAATCAAACATGGAGAGGCATGAAGCCTCGGTGGATTAGCGCCAAATCAGCATCCATTGCATCGCACATCAGCAATGTCAATCCAAAGGACGAAATCAAAGGTACAGAAATGAATCAATCCCGCAAAGGGAAGCGTGGTCCTCCGGGTTGCCTTCCCACGTGGAAGCTGGGCCCTGATTTGGACCATTTCCTCAAGGGAGCTTCCGGGGACTTCCATGGCAGCCCGAGGGGAATGTTTCGATATGAATCTCAGCTTCCAAAATTCCGCACCTCCTTGTGCATCCTTGCCCGCGTCTTTGGGTTCGTCCACCTGACACCAGCTCACCGCTGTCGATGGGGTGGTGACGTACGAGCAGGAAGGGCTGCAAACAAGTTCACTGCAGGAGAATCGGTGACGCGTGAGGTTGAAGGTTTCAAACAACCCAGTGCCCCGACGAATTCGAGCAAGAAGCAATCCGGGGTGGGTGCAGCTACTTCATGCTCCTGTGAGCTCTCATGCGAAACCCCCCGCATGTTTAGCTTCATGGTGGCTTCGTGTTCCACTTGCAAATCAGTGGCAATTCCCTTTGTTTAGTTGGTTCCCATATGCAGAAGCAATGAGGCTCGCAAAACTTCCAACCATCGCAATGAGGCTCCTTTGTTCAGCCGGCAATACCGCGATGCCTCCTCCCGACGCTCCAACCTCGGCGTGATTTGGGAGAGATGTCAGAAGCCGGAAACCATAACTTCCATGCGGTGCCCGTCTGGACAGCAAGCGCCTTGCGGGTTGATGCAGCAAATCTTGGAAGCAGATGGGAGTTTCATAGTCTCATACTTCACTAGGACACCGCCCTGTATTTGAGACTCCTCATGGCAGCCCCATGGTGTGCACCTAGCAACACCAGACCACACGAATGAGACCAACGCAAAGGGACGTCAGCGAGAGAAGCATGTCCTGACGCTGACAGAAAACTGGGTCCCTGGCGTGCTCTCTCGGGCGGCTTCAACCAGCCTCCGAAGGTAGGGCAAGGGGCTGGATTGGACAAAACGCGTTGAACCAACCACAGCATGGCCACAGCAAGTTGTGGCAATGACTTGGGGCTGTATCTAGAATGTTCACACTCATATTCTGCCAAGATACCAGGATCATGATTGAGGATGAGAAGTAGAGACGGCTGACTACCATTACACTAGGGTGAAAGTGGATGCCACAATTTTCGCATGTTCCCGTTTGCTTACCCACTGAATTTTCACCCAGGGCGACCTTTTGCAGCCTGCCCACAAAGGGCCGCCTTCCCCCCAAAAGGCCTCCCCCCCCACTTCCTGCTCCTTAGCACCCCTCAGCCCCTCAGAAACCGCTCAGGGCCTCAGCACGAAGGCCTCCGCCTTCTCCGCCGCGTAGCGCGCCACCGCCCTGTCCTCGAAGTCGCAGCCCTGGCGCAGGAAGTGCTCCACCACGTCCAGCGGCAGCGCCATAGCCGGACGGGACGCAAAGCCCCGGTGGAGGTGTGGTCGTTTTCCAAGGTAAAGAAGACACCGTCGGAGCGTGTGTAAGTCCAAGAAAGGATTTGCCTTCCTCTCATAGAGTTGACATTCAACGTATTGCGGCGTGACGTATTTGTACTGCTAGACAGCTGTTGAGTTCAATCGGCTTGCTCTAAACAACCAAGATGCGCGCGGAGGAAACGTTGAGCTCCGTTTCAGGTGTCGCTAGCTTTTGGTAGAAATTCCATTGGACTGTGCTGGCTTGAGGCAATGAAAGGCAAGCAAATGTTGAAGGCAAATTGTGTGAAAGGCGTCAGCTTTGCATCCTCAAAGAATAGTGCGCATCTTTCCATCTATATCAAAGTGTGTGGCTATTTGTGTTCCACGGTCCCGGCAGTGCCAATGGCAGCTCCAAGATGCGGAGTGAGCTCACAAGGAAGGCACAAGAGAACATGCGCATGAAGTTTGCCAAGGCGCGATAAACAGTGTGATGGCAGAGAAGAGGACAGCCTCAATCAGCAATAATCGCACGGTGTCGGAAGGCGTATCAAGCCGGACATCTGGCGGGTGAGGACAAGTATGGCCACGTCTTGGATTCGATCGGCCTTGTTACAAGGGTGATTCAAATGAAAAGCGCAAGCACTGCAGGATCACAGCTAACAATGGTTCTACTATAGTATGCTGACTCTCTAAGTTTGTGGCATAAAACACGGCCAGTTTGTCTTTGCCCGCCCTCTGGGCTCTCGGCATCCGCGTCCCAGTGCTGGGGATGCGTCAGCGTCCATGCCAGCCGATACCTTGGCAGCTTAAAAAGTGTCAGTTTGATGATGATTTTAACAACCAAAACAAATGGGAAACCACCATCTTGCGTGGTCCCCCTATTTTGACACGTACCCACATCATGTCAAACAAAACAGCAACGTGTTGCGCCTTCAACTGGCCCTGTTGTTGAAAGGAAAGCAGCTCTTAGTTTCTGACTTTGATACCCCCTAAAGACAGTCAAGATATTAACAGGCGAGTGATGCTCTGTGCCAATCATCTTCTCAATCTTTCAGCATGGACACGAGGGAGAGTTGATTCTGTCCCTCAACATGGGATTCCTGATACTCACGACATTGATGCATCGCGGAATGTGGCCAAATGGAGGGGGAGCGGCCATTTGAAGCTTGCGATCTCAAGGCTGCCAATCAGTGGCCGGCAGTGTGTTCCGTGCACATGCTTCGCCAACAGAGGGTGGGCTAACTCGTGGCAGTTAATCCTGACATCTAAGTCTGAATGGGATCTTACATATTTCTCATACTAACGGCAGCAAATCCGTTGCCAGCAACAAAATTATCTCGTCAAGCGCCGCTCTGGCTGACTTCTTGCCGAACTTCCAGGCCGAAACACAGGCCAGGCCAAAGGCTACCACTTCCCAAAAAGCCAAGAGTCAATCCTCTCTGAATGCAAGCCAAACTCCGGATCCAAAAAAAACACAACACCAGCAACCAAGAAATCTGTTGGTTGAATCTCGGGATTCTGTGTTTTTTGTTAAAATAGCAATGAGCGGCAGTACCCTCGTTGAAAAACGAGCTCGGCCCAGTGGCATGTTGGCAGCACCACCGGCAATTGGCGCACCATGCAGCAGCGGCAGCTCGCAAATCGTCTTCAGCTTCCTGGGTGAAGGGCATAAGGGTGTGTCTTTTGTAGAGGTACCCTTCTTTTGGGGATGGTTCAAAGGGAAACCAAAGCCAGACCGAACCTTTTGGGCATTTTGGGGGTTGCCCATTTGGAATGCCAAGACAAACCACGCAAAGGGAGCAAGAACACACTGTGGGCAATGTTGCTTTGTTTGTTGTGCGAGGGACCACAACTGTCATAGCTTCAAAGCGCTGCACCCATATCTTTGTGAGAGTCATGCGGTTGAACCGCAGAACTCTGTTATTTTCCCTACGTCTCATTTTGCTCATGTTCTCCTCTGACCATGCAACTCTGATGCAAAGTTCATGACTCAAACAGAACTCGCAAGCTGTGACTTTCACTGACGCTCCAGTCTCGCCCCAAACGGGTTTGCGGTTCTTTTTGGGCCCCATTTGTGTGGTTGTTTTGTTTTAAGGAAATTCAAAAGGAAACCACCCATTTTCGAGATTCCCCTATTTTGGCACGAAATGGAAATCTGTCAAGATAGAGGACCCCAATAATGGGCAGATTCCTGTTGAATTTCCAGTCAACGATCAAACAAATAGTGCCCTCAAACAAACACACACACACACACAAATCTTCAAGCCTTCTCGACCCCTGCTTGTGGCTGTTTCAGAAGGGAGACTAAAAGGAACCACCCATTTTAAGGTTTCGCCTATTCTGGCACAAAATTGGATTGTGCCAAACTTTCCCTTTGAGTTCCCTTTGAACCATGAAACAAAGGGTACCCTCAAGAACGCACACACACACACACACACACACACCTCCGCAAATCTCCAAACCTTTCCTGTTTTGGGATACCCCTTTTTGTGGCTGTTTTAAACCGGAAACCAAAAGGAAACCACCAATGTTCCAGGTTCCCCAACTTGGGGGAATACCCGAGCAAGGCGCCATATGTTTTTGATTAGGGTGGTTGGGGGTTTGGGGTGGATGGCACATTCCCTTGTACTCTGCAAGTGCAGAACAAGCTGTTTTTCTGTGTCATATGCCATCGTGTGTTTTAAAAGCTGTCGTGCCCCGAGCGGCAGGCCAAAATGCCGACAGTGCCTGCACGCTGGACCTTGCTCACCCCCATATGCCCCCTTTCCTGCGCGGGTGTCTAGCAAGACCTTCCTCTAATTGCCGTTGCTCGCCTGCATTTAGAGGACATTCCGCGCGTTTTGTCATTTAATTGTTTCTGTACAGGGCCTTAAACCAATTCAGGGTTGTTCAGATGTTGGAGCATCCCATCTGCTTGCACAGTACGAAGATTGATGAAAGGAGCACTACGGGCAAGTCCTGCAAGGCACGTGAGCGTTTGTCTGAATCGGGAAAGTTTCTTCAGGTGGAGCCCTTGAAATTTCACGCTCGCAAAAGAGGGTGTTACAGCCCTGCGGAAGTGCCAAGCCTGCCTACAGCCTACATCATTGCAGACTGAATTTGCGTGGGAGTGCTTCTCCTGCATTTTTCAGCGACACAGCGAAGTCAAATGGTCATGTGGGCAGTTGTGGCAACAGTGGGCAAGACCTGCAGGAACTTGAAAGTCATCACCAGACTCACGATCACTACCAAACAGCGACCCCCGCCCGCCCTCCTCTGCGCTGACTATCTGCCTGCTTTTGGCATGGTGCATTTTACGTGGTCAGGAACTCGGGCTGCACACTGCAAGAGGATGTTAAGACCAAGCTACGTCCTATTGCAAAGGATTTTAAGTAATCTTATCAAAAACCGCTATGATTTGAGATTCTTACATCCAATGGTTGGAAACAAGGCCAATAATTGCTTGTGATTTCAAAAATCCTGCTTTGGGACGTAGGTCACGTTGATTTGTGGACGGAGGTTTCACATCCGAAGAACCTCGAACTTGGAGCGCCGAAGCTTTGTGTGGCTGCGCGTCAAATCTGAGGTTAGGCGGTGGCCGGCATCGGTGGACCAGGCATTTCGGTGTGCTTGGGGACGAAAAAACATGATTCCGTTGAAGTTTCACGTAGGCTTACGGCAACATTGCGTTGCTCATAGTTTATAGGAGGCCAAGCTTGTGCAAACCAAATTCACGGGATTTTGGACGCGACAATGTAGTCCGGTCTTGTGTCCTGCCTGCGATGTGGTATTTGTTGGGGGTCGCAGAACGACACCAAGTTCCACAAAGGAACTTTTTGTGCGAGCCTGCGCAGACGACACACGTACCCCGACCACTTGCTCCTACCATAAGAACCCGATAGTGCAGACACACTGTTTGGGGAAGAAAGGGACACCACTGCGTGTAAGCAAAAAAGAGAAATGATGCTATTTGGCAACCCTCTGGTGGAAATCATTTACATGGGGATTTGTGTCAATCAACCGCTTTTAGCAGGTGTCGAATGAAATCATGGAAAGTACCCAAATCCCCAACCTCTGCCAAGCCGCTTTGCATGTTGGAAGGCGGAGCTGGGCGCTTGCGCTGCACAGGCGGCCATCGCAAAGCCCAGCTTCCAGCCCGCCTGCGGGTGAAAATTGGGGCGTTTTGACGTTGGTGTAACTATTACCACCAAGGTGAGGGTTGAAATCGCAAAAAAGAAGCGGGAATACAGCACTCCTGCATTAAAGGAAAATTGAAAGGACAACTGCCATTATTTGGCCCCCTTATTTTGACACATACCCAGTCCCCAAAGTCAAAGAAACCAATAGAAGATTCTAACTGGAACTTCGCCCAAGACCCACTTAGCATTCTCACAACGGACCAAGTATCTGGATCAAAGGACTTATTCCCCTGGTGTTGGTCTGGGAATGCGAATTGTCAAGATGGCAAATGTCAATCAAATCTTCACACATTTCAGGTCGGTGATTTCCCACGTTCGCAACATCTAAGATACAGAACCCTCTGCTTGGACTGTGTTCAAGAAAAACGAAGGATAAACGAGGAACAACTCACCACAATAGCAAGGGTCCACAAACTTCAGAACATCCACATTTGAATAGCCACCTCCAAGACTTGCTGTTCGGCCAATTACATGTGAATCGGATTGAGGGTACCCATTCGGGGTTTGGTTTTGGCCCCCATTTTCACACAAACCCAATTGTAACACCACCCTGGCGAATCCAAATCAATCCACGGCGTGTTAAGAGTTGCATGAAGCACCCCCTGTCTCGAGGCTGGCTTTGGAATCATTGATGGTGATCAAGTCAGAAACGCATTACCTTGTCTCAAGTCCAGACAAAATCGCGTACGCGAGTGCCCGCGGGTCCCCGCGCACGTCCCGCTCGCGTGCCGCCCGCTTCGCTCGCCTTGACGGGGCTGGGGATGTATCGCACCAGGCGCCCAGCGCCCAGGAAGGCCAAAGCCACAGAGGCCACGCCCACCATCCTTGGGGGGAGGGGGGGGAGCCTCAAATGGCCTCAGGTGGCTCATGTCCATGGCATTTTTCGTGAAGCTCGGTACTCATGTGTTTCCGGTGTTGGGGTGATGGGCCAACCTGTAGTAAAAGTGTCTTTCGACTGGATGAACTGGTGACCGTTACTCAAATCTCAGCTTCACAACAATTATGGAATCTGACAGGATGTCGTAAGTGCCTAAGTGGTCTTGTACAAATGCCTGTGTCAGCGTCCATCCTTGTGAGAAGCGGAATGTGAAGTAGTTTCAATCATTCCTGCCATTTGGAAAAATATGCCATTCATGCATGATTTGTGCCACAGCTAAACCAATTGCGCCAAGAGCTTCAATTTCGCGTCAGTGGATCGGATTTGGTGATAGGCCGCCACTTCCATTGCGTGAGTCCAATGGAAAGAAAGGCATAAAACGAACGAATTAATACCGCTTTCGACAATTGAAAGGATACCAGCCGGAAGCTGCCTGAAGCAGGTGACCCTGGTCAAGAGATATGTCTTAGCATTGGTCAAGGGAAGCCATCTGGTTGCAATACACTGGTGCTGCAAGATGACTTTTCTTGTTTCTGAAACGCTTCATTTCGTATCGGAAAGCAGCTAGCAACCTGCTTAACGAGCGGATACCCATGTCCGTAAGTCCGTAAGTGTCGAGCCCTGATTGCACATGCCACAGTTGTGTGTATGCATGCTTGCGCATTTGTACTGCCGCGTGTTGCCCTCGACCCCCCCCCAATCCTGCCCAAGACTGAAACCTGGTTCCCCTTCGTGGAGCCCACCCCCGAGCTGTACGTCTACCTTGGGGTCGCAAGCAATCTATGGATCGAACGCCTCTCAGCAAAAAGTCTGAGCTACACCTCGGCTTCTTACGAGCGGCATGGAGTAGCAGCCCAGGATGTCGGACCAGGCAGCTTCTCCATACATCTCCCTGTACTCGCCTCCATTGTGGGAAATGACTCGAATGACCTGGAATCTGTGATACCAAAATGACGCATCCCCATGCTTGAGTTGGATCAGCTCGATGATCCAAGACAACCCTTGAAACAGAAGTGGGTATGGGTCAAAATTAGACCACCAGCGGACCGCAGGTTTTGGTCCATGTTTCCACTTACCAGGGTTCCCTTTTCGGTACATATTTTTGACCCACAGCCAAGTGGTCGATGTCCATGAAGTCTTTATCACGTCACCCTGGGTTTACTTGGTATCACAGAAGCTGGAAACCCGAAGAAACATGCCCCTCGCCCCTCAAAAGCACCAGCATGAGCTCTAAGTGATACTTAAACAGAAATGGCTCCATTTAAATTACTTGGAAAGGTAGAAACTATTCTGTCCCGTGAAAAGAAAAAAACAAGGAGAACCAATACCAGTAATCGAGCAACGCTGCAGACAGAGGGGGCCAGTCTGATGCTTGTTTTACTTTCTGCATGTTGTTGCTTGTTACTTTGCGCTCAATCCGATGTCCGGAATCGAATCCTCAGCGTAGCAAAGCTCAGCTGTGGGCCAGATTTGCGGCCAAGCACTGCACCCGGCCTCCTTTCAGATCAGCCGTGGCCATGAGAGCTGTGATGGACGTCACCTAACACCATGGATCACCAGCATCGATTGGAAATGACTGCCTTCCCTCTCCCGTTTTGGTGCAAGCTCCTTCCTTCACAACACAACAAGTGATTTACACCAACTTCTCACCTTTCGCACAGCTCCTCCGCTCCTTCCGTGAACCTCGCCGTTTCCCGGTTTCGTCTGTCCCCGGCTTCCGGCCAAGCAGCCCCGATGTTGAGGCACGGGTTCCCCGTGAGGAAGGCGAAGACCACCAGCGGCGGGCCGGAGGCGAGGATGCCTCGCCGCGCTATCCCAGCCCGGCCAGGCCAAGGTCTCCGAGGTAGGGGGGAGGTTCTTAAGCTGTTGGGTTTTAAGAGGTGATAGGGTGGCTTCACCTTGATGAGTGGTTTACTGTAACCCTCCGAAGTCTATGGTTGCAACCCATTGTAACTCCCCCAAGTAGGTTTTAACCCCCTCAAGTATATCATGGTAACTCCCCTAAGAAAAGCTCAGGGAACCATGAATGTAACTCCCCTAAGTAGGACAGTAAGAAATCAAGTAGGGTATTGGTTTTTGGGCGTCTCCAAGGGCATTCAACATGTCCCAATCCTGAAAGAAGACATGCATCACGAACTACAGGAAACCTTCCAAATGTCAAAACCAAAGGGCAGAAAAAAGCCCCTTCTTACACGTGAAAACAGAAAAGACTGTTTGGAAATAGCCTTCTTTCGGCTTCCATGGCTTCCCTTTAAAGGGTACCAGGGTGAACATGATTTTCGGAACCCGGAGAACAGAAATTCTTTGCCCAAAGACCTTAGGTCCCCCACCTCGAAAGCCCGAAAGCTGCGCCAGCTCGGCATAGGCGATGTATTGTGGGAGGCTGGTGACCGCCACGGTCACGCCTTGCGAAAACCCGAGGCTTTGCTGTGGATCATCGCCCTCTTTGTGCTTTATGTGTTTGTCCATCGCAGACGACCACCCTCTTGTGATGCCCGCCCCAAAAACTTCTGGCTTGAGATGACATGCGTATGGACCTTGGTTCACGCGCGATCAAGAATATAACTGTGATACCAAAATCGGGTTCTCACATACCTTCTACTTTATCACTTTGCCACGGGGATTTTTGTATCGCAGAATTGATGTTAGTACCACAACCATGGACACGAACCAGAAATCAGTTGTGATACGTCGATGTGAGCCAAGGGTAAAATCATTTCCCCTAAGGGAAGCTTGGGGCTCGTCCCCTCGTTTGTGTTTTTGTTTGGTGAGTCCCCCCATGTTCCTCCCAAATGTACCATGGAAATTTGACAACACCTCATGTCCGCACCTGGCCTGGTTAAGCAAAGGGTCCAATCCCAAAAGCACATGCTCATGTCACCAAGGCGTAGTCGCTGTTTTTGGCTCGCCTCTCAGGCTTCCGCGCCTGCTATGACATCACCAGTTGACCAGCTGCGATAATCGGTGATGAAGCGTGGCATGGCTTCGCGGCCGAAAGAAGCAGTACAAGCTCGAGTCTAGATGGTGCGTGTTTCTGCATGGCTTCTACTTCCCTGATGTTGCTCCTGCCTATTCATTGGGGAATGCTGGGTGGCTACCGATATCCCCTGAGAAGCTGAGGCACATTCTGGGGAGGCACATTCTGGGGCCTTTCTGTTTGGAGGGCTCTGCCAGACACCAAAGGGCCTTACCCGATCCTCAGGGCCCAAAGGGCTGGAGAAATCTGCAGCTGGCTCGCCCCAAGGGCCCAGATCGGCCCACCCGGACCCTTCCCACGGACTCTTCGCATGCGGTCCTGGTGCTCTGATCTCATTTTGGCACCTTGGCTCTCGCACTAAGCAAAGCTCAACCCATGGTAGGACGTAGAACACTCCCCCACCCACTAACATTGAAATTGATAAGTGGGTATCAGGCCTTCCGGCTTGATCGCAAGCATTGCAGAAGCCGAACGAATTGTACGGCTTCAAGAAACGTAACAATATTGCTTTCGCTAAGGGTGGTGCGCTCGCCATTGAGTAACTCCTGGAGGGAGCGGCCAGCTGTCTGGGCATGCACTAGTGTTTGGTCAGACATGTCAGCTTGTGTTACCCTCCGTCCACACTAACACGAACCCACAACAGGGTCGCTTGAAGGAAATGATCCAAGCAAGGAACCCCAGTCAGGTTCCATGGATGGGATATTGCACATCAGCTCAGGGAAGCCACTGTTAGGCCCAGCCCGAAGCCCGAAGAGGCCACAAAGTTCGGGTCCAGCTCGATGTCGGACTTCAGCGGAAGTTACGCCCGGCGGTTCAACCCGCTCCTCAAAGCGCTTGTGCTCCGCGTCCAACCGGGCCGACTCGTAAACATCCTGGAGTTCGCAAGAGGCCCTCAATCTGGTCTTTGAATTGTTTAACAAGGGTGTCCTCTTGCAAAGAAGCCTTTCATTGAGGGCCAACTTGTTTGAAGAAGAACAAAAACGGCCCTTCCGCTCGTCTCGGCACCAGCCAGAAAGTTTGTTGCGCCATGAAAAGTGTCATGCCAATTTGCACGTGGCTGTGGCTCAAACATAGGTTACCGCCCCAGCCCCAGTTCGTAGAAAACAAAACGACCAAAATGTGCGCGCCCATTTGGGTCCCGATGTTGCGAGATCGAGACCTGAGACTCTCACGAAAGCCCAAATCTTCGGGTCTCCATGTTTCACTGACGCGGGTCTGTCATAAAAGGGGACCCTTAAAAAAAAAGGAAAGAAGCTGGTGTCCTTGCGGCTTCCCTTGTGAAACCGACCAAAAGGGGGTTCCCAGAGAAAAAACGACACATCCAGGCAGCTTGGAAGCAGAGTCAATCCGCGGCACTGAGCAGTCCTTCTTCCAGGTGACCCAGCACGTCATCAAAGTCTCGGTGTGTGCGTGGTCAAAACTGATTCTATGATCCATGGTGGTTATAGCTTCCAAATACAAATAAGAACCTTTATCATGGTTGTCTAAACTCCCAAAGTTTAGGTCCATGATTGTCCCTACCAAGCCAAAATAAAGGAGGGGTGTTTTCACCCCGGCACATGTAGGCAAAAGGCTGTGTATGCATGGTCCTTCATAAGTCGTCGCTGTTGTCTTATTTGCTGCTGGATGGGTGATACTGAGGTTGCCTTCTCCACCTCTTGGCATTTCTGCAGCAGGAGTGCCTAATTGGCGCGACCACTGTGCGTCTCGAGTTGTTTGGAATCTGTTTCCGATCGTCTTGCTTGCACTGCTCCTCGTTCCACTTGACTCTGTTCTGCTGAAACGCCGCTGGGTGCTGACTTGAACATTTTGAGTTGCCTCGACGTGATTGCTAGGTGGCTGCATCTCAAAATGTTGACCTGAAATGTTTGCCATGCGCGCTCAGTTGCATGCTGGTTGGCCGGGCTTGTTGACCCTACTGGCTGGCTCGACGGGCAGCTCTCTGGCTCACTCGGACATTCCGGACTTCAGCGCTGGTGATACCATGAATCGGTACATCAGATTCCTGATTCAAACCAAACTGCAGACCGATGCCGCTTTTTGCGGTGCCCTGTACTCGATTCAGTACTCAGCACCGTAGCACCCCATCCCGAGTTCCCTGTTCCCAGCGTTCCAGCAGCACCGTCAACCATCACAATAAAGCGATGTACCAATCGAATGACTTATGTCCACATACTCCACTCCCAAATTGCTCAGCCGTCAAGCCAAACCGCCCGACACTTCGAAACTCAACAAGGAGTTATACAATTCATGCATTACATAGTCCTTGTTCCAACCCCCTTGGAATAATCATGATTGCTTGTAGAGCTACTGTGTTGACAAAAAGAACTGATTCCCGTACCTGTCCCAACTGCAATGGATTCGAGGTTCGCACGCCCCGGCCCTGTCCAAGCAAGAACTTCTTGATCGCCATGTCCACGGACTTACTCTTTGCCTCCAAAAAGCAATCGGAGACACGGGTTCGGCTCCTCAAAGTAGGGGAACACAAAAAAGGCTGTTGGGCTATTGACTGTTGGCGTCCCTTTCAAACAACCTGAAAAGCCCGAAAGGGTACCCTCGATACGGCAACCAGCAGTTCTTCTCAACTGGCTCTGAAGCTCAAACTTACAGCGATTTGCGTGGGGTCTGTATCCCTCCCTCTCTCGCGTGAGTCGCGGGTGCCATTGGCAGCCTTGCTCGCGCGTCTCTCAATGGCATTTTCCTTCAATGCCTGGCCGTGAGCAAAAGCCATTCCAACAAGTTCCGAAATGCAAAAAAGGAACCGGTGTTTATCCCCAAATGGCACAGGCCCAATCTACCAGGCGTTCTCCCTACGCAAACAAGGCACCCCAACCCCATCCCACACGACCAACGGGCAGAGCGCCCGTTCCCGTGCTAAGTGTCCCACTGCTTGAGGTCCATTGAAACATGAACATCTCAGTGGAGGTAAGTCACAAATTGCCCTTGTCTTAGCTTCAGTCTGCTGACGAGGACATTGATTCCTCCAACACCAAAAAGCAAGACGTGAAATTTGACAACTTCTGCGTCAAAAGCATCGTCAAACCGGCACCTTGAAGCAGGACGTAGCCATCCTCAGCTCAATCGTGATAGGGCTGCCCTTGGAGCTGACTATGGGACTGGTTTCGAATGGGTGAAAATTATGTTTTGGTTGGAGTCAATTCGAGTAGCCCAAGAACCCGGTCGCATGGTCAACCACCCTGGGTAGATATTGCTTTCAGCGGGAAAACATCCCCAAGTCCAGGAGACTACTGGATTTGTTCACCAAATTTTCCTGGAGTGATCCTCATTGCAAGCAAACGTGTTTCTGCTTTTGACCATGGCTCTTGAAAGATCGGACCCCCGTTCCGGGGCATTCCCATCTTTTGAGGCGCGCGGCCCCTTGGCGTCGCCGTCCTTCCACTTTGCAACAGCCATTTCCAACGCCTGGCGCGCTCCAGGCCAGGTAGACATCAGGTAGACATCTCTTGCAAGCTGCAGTGGGATGAGGTGCGCCTCGGGGTGCCTCGCATTGCGTTTCCATGCATCCCCTGAGTGCCTTACTTGCTTCAAAAGGACGATCACCCTTTTGGTCATTGGAGAGTAAGGACTTGCTGGTTCTCAGCAAGAAATCAGCAAGGGTTTGGGAATAAACCTAGGGATCCCCTTGAAGGGAAGCCACAAGGGATAGTTCATATGGGGGCATTCCCTCATTCCCCGCTGAGAACCAGCAAGAACACAGTGCAATCCAGCAATCCATCCCATGCTCGCTTCGCTGCCTCCCGATGAAAGGTGGCATCTCCGCCAAAAGTGACACCAGCAAACGCAGCTAGCAGACCCATGCGTCTCATTCACGTGAGTGTGAAGTGGACGTCGGATGGGGCTCATGTTCACTTTCCATGAAACAATATCTACACCATGTTTGACCCAGTTGAACTTTGGCCGAAGATGGACCAAAGCTTTGGTAGGAACTAGACAATGGTTGGATTTCTGCCCAAATCCATGTTCGAGGGCGTCCCGACTCTCAACATTGCTAGACATCTTTTTGGAAAGTGGACCCTTTGGTGCACGTCAGAATAGGGGCTCATGTGAGCGGTGATCAAAATCAATAGGCCAAATTGCGCTGATATCCTTTGGCGCTTCCGCGTGCTTCCGCGCGCTTCCGCGCTGCGGGCGTTTGCTTCCGCGCTCTCATTTCCCTTCCGCGCCTTCCGCGGCTTGCGTCTCTTTCTTTTCCAAGCCAACACATCTAAGATCCACGGAAGATGAGGCCAGATCGGCCCATGGCTTTGGATTTGGCGGCATAGCTGGTGATACTAAAGTCTTGGACGCTAGAAACAGGTAAGTGAAACAGCCATGCTGGGGAAGCCCTGAAGAGATTGCGAGCCTGTGCTTGAGACATCCTTGTGCAACGTGGAGCCATCCAGTTTCTGTTACAAGCAGTAGACGGCTGTAGCAAATGGTTTGTGGGTCACGACGAGCCCTGAAACGCGAATCCCAATAGATTTGCAACGCAAACGTCAAGCCTCACGACACACCGCGGCTACGATTCCCGCACAGGGCCAACGAGAACAACACATGTTTACTTAAAGTCATAGCCGTCTATTGAAAATGATGCTCGCAAGCCCGTCCGACGCGCCTTGCGCTGGCCAATCTTCATATGGTCCAGCTCTGCCATACCTTGAGGCTATGGCTATGACATATGGGTGTGAGTCTTCATAGGGGGACCTTTTGGCGGACATCATGCACTTGGATATTTTTGTTCACCAGCCATGCTTGGGAATTTCCATGTAAAAAGTCGTTGCCATATCTCATGGATTCCACTTTGGTCCTAACCCTGTCTGGAACCCGGGATGAGAAAAACATAATTCACAACAACTACACCACGTTTTTCACGTCCCCCCAAAAAAGGGCGTGGTGAAGCCGCAACATTCCAATCATCCCGCAAAAAAATCCATGTGCGGTCCAAGCAGCGCTCCGCAAGCTCTTTGTCATAGGCACCCTTCACCTGCCAACAGCCACACAGCA